TTGCACCTCTGCCTCAGTATAAAGAAAACTGACTGAGACCCATCCATCCATCGATCCATCTGCCATCCATCTATGTACCCATCTATCCCCATGTGCATGTATGTATCCACACACTCAACCACCCACTGATCCATCCATCCACCCACTCACTCATCTACCCATCCATTCACATATCCAGCTACCCATGCATCCATCCATCCATCATTACAGATGCTGGAGTGATGGGTTCCATGACCACTGAGATCCATGCTGTCTCAGTGGGGAGCAGTGAGGGCCAGGCTACAGGAAGAAGTTGACCCTTAGAGGAGAGTTTGGGAGATGAATAGGTCTTTGCCAGATAGGTGAACAGGTCAGGCACATTCACACCTGGCTCGATGGATTATAGGTAATTTTTCTAATGCCGAAAAGAAATAAGGCTAACTTGTAGCTGGTGAAGTTAACCTTGGGCTTCTGAAAAACAGCCAGGGAGAAAATTACTGAGAGATAGCAGTTACATGTGCTCTCTTGGCTTCTGCCAGAGATCCAGGGGCTGGCCTCAGTGGACACAGCTGCTTTAAGAGGTAACCCACACTCTGGGACAGCCTGGGGCAGGTGCCCTTAGACTCTAAGGCTTGCACACACTCAGCTGAGCTGTGTAAACCCAGCTATACAAGGGGAGAAAAGCAGCTGCTGGCCTGGGTGTGGCTCCCTCTGAACCAATAAATCAGGGTTCTTGGCTCAAGGACAGCATCACCTCCACTGATGGCCCGAGTGAGCATCGTAGTCCCCTCTAAATGGTCTAGGACAAGACTCCTTTTTCCTCGGGATTCAGGGCAGGCTTGGATGATGTCCAGAAATGGGGGGAGGAGAGGCTCAGAGTATGAGCAGAGGTGGCAGTGTAGTGAAGCCAAGAGGCATGAGGTGAGAGGAGAGTGACACACCAGGCAGCAGTAGGAATGGGGGCTTTTGTGTGGACCAGCCTCAGGCGCCTACAGTCAGGGACGCTCCCTGAGCAGCCAGCACCAGATCACAGGGCACCGCATCGTGGGGCCTGGGTGAGGGCTGGATAGGCTTTCCTTCCTGTTCTACAGACCTCTGGGGGCCACTGAGAAAAGATCTTCTAAGGTGTCTGTAGATGAAACCTCACCAAGCCTGGATGAGAGAAAACCAGCTCTGCAGAAATGCAGCTGTTAAAATGTGCATAAAAACAACTTATGACACAGTGCTTTCCTAGAGATAGGTAAGAGCATAAAATTTAGTGACATACCTAATAAATGCCATGTCTCAAACTAATGGCAAACACACTATTTTGCAAATAGCAACTCTGAAGGGTCAGGACCACACTCATGACTGGAGGTGAAGTCACAGGTGTCAGGGACACTCTGGGGTTATGTGGTGGTCCCATCTGAAGGGGACTCCATGTTAAAATATTTTAGATTTATTTACTTCATGTGTGTGAATGTTTTTGCCTGAATATGTATGTGTGTGCACCACGTGTATGGCTGGTGCCCACAGAAATCAGAAGTGGGTATCAGATACCAAGAATTGTGAACCACCATCAATCACATGGTGCTGGCCCTCTCTCTGTAAGAGCAGCAAGTACTTCTAACTGCAGAGCCATCTTTGCAGCCCAGAAATGTTACATTTTTAAATTAAAGGTGGAAACAGTTTTTTCCAAGTTCATAACTTGGTTCTTCTAGTAGGGAAAAGTCCCTGCACTAAGGGCTGGTAACAGCCAAGGGTGGACCAGCCATCTGATGTTAAAGCTCTTGTCAGGCTTATCTGATCTCACAGGAACCTGAAACAAGCAACTCTTACAGATGGGAAAACTGAGATTCTGGTGATCTGGACATAGGCTAGGTGTTTCAGGTATGGCTGGCACTGTCCCCAGCCTCAACATGCCTCATTTGAGACAGCAATTGACCAAAGGGAAGGGGGACAACCAGGCCACCAAGCACCTCTGAGGTTAAATGGAGGGTGAGGCTGTACCCCTTAACTGAAGAGACCCAGGGGGAGAAGGAAGAGACCCAGGGAGAGCAGGGGCAGCATCCATCCTGCCCCATTTCCCAGACATGGGCGGAAGACATAACCCCAAGGTTCTCATGGGCCACAATGTTGGGGGTCCTTCTTGGGACCTCAGTATATCCTCTTAGCTGGCTTTCATTTCTCCTTTCCCTACTCGGTGTCACCGTAGCCCAGCATTCTGCCTGTTTTCTCAGCCATCTGGCAGCAGAGAGGCAGCTCTCACTTCTAGACTGTGTACCAGGTTTTGGGATGGCAGACCCAAGGGTCGCCTGGATCACACACCTTCTTTTGAGTGTCACAGGACTCTGGGGAGTGTGCTGCTCAGGGAGAATGAGACAGTGAGCTCTTGGTGTGAGGTTCCTGGGTGTCCTCTCAGATGGTCACATGCTGACGACACAGGTGCCTCCCATACAGTGAAAGCGTCTCAATGGCTCTCTCTCCAGACCCCTGGAGTCCAAAGTCTGAAGGCCAAGCATGCTCCACCACACTTATTCCTGAATACACACTGCTTGAGAGGCCCTCTCATCTAATGCAGGGAACACATGGCACAGGCCCCGGCGTCTGCTGACCTTACGCCAGCCTGGCACACTGCCTGTGTGCCTGCTGGTGGAGATGTCCACAACCACATGCCATGCGGGAAGTGGGAAGGAAAGTACAACAAACAGCAAAAAACAAAAACAAACGAACAAAAATCCTCAGATAAAACAATTGTTTTTGCTATATGTTAGAGTCACACATTTGTGTGTGTAAATATGCATGGTTGGAATGTAAGACTGTCCACATCCACAAATACTCCAGCACAGTCTCCTAATACTTCCTTAGACTCCAGGGCTGCTTCACACCTAGGGAAACCAGCAGACTGTCAATGAGGCTTAGTGGGGAGCAAGTCACCAAGGCCCTGTCACAGGCTCCAGTGATGAGCCAGAGTGTGGGGGGTTTTGGAAGCTTGCCCAGGAGTTTTGTCTCTAGGGGAGCAGTGTGCCCAGAGTGGGCAGTGAGGAGAGATGAGAAACCAAAACCACAATCTCCCAGGGCAGGTCACACACAGCCTGGCTGTCCTGGAGTCTGCTTGGCTGGCAGCTGTCTAGAGAATGTCCTTCCCTTCCCCTACCCTCCCTCCCTGTCCTGTGGCCTTAAGAACTTAATCAGGCTGCTTGCCCCTAGAGCCCCCCCCCCCATGGGGAGCAGCTGGCACCTGGGACAGAAATAGCTGCAGCAGGGATCTTGCTGTTGGATCAGGGCCAGTGCTGAAGAGTGAGGAGTAGAAAGTTGAGACTGTCCCCCCCTTCCAGTGACTCTCCCGCGCTGAGCTCACAGAGCACAGGGCTCCAGAGGTCAACCCAGCCTTAGCCCCCGATAAACAACTGCCTCTATAGTCAACTCAGGAGTCCACGCTGTGTGGTTGATCACTTCCCTGTGCTCACCATTTGTATTCCTTTCTTTCTTTCTTTCTTTCTTTCTTTCTTTTTTTTTTTTTTTTCCTTGTTGAGACAGAGTTTCTCTGTCCTGAAACTCACTTTTTAGATCAGGCTGGCCTCCAAGTCACAGAGATCCTCCTGCCTCTGCCTCCCTAGCCCTGGGTTTAAAGGTGTGTGCCACCACCATCCGGCTTGTATTTCATCTTTTTGAGAACTGTCCATTCATTTCTTCAGCCCAATTCTTGACGCTGTCCCTTGATTTCTTGTTTATTTTTTTAATTGTTTGTATATTTTAGACCACTTGGTCATGCTACCCATGTAATTATTTGTATATTTTAGATATACAATATTTCTGTGTCATGTGTGTATCAGACAAGTCAAAGGTTTTGGCCTATTTGGTAGGCTCCTCTACTCAGTTAACTTTTCTTTGGTTTACCAAGTTCCCTTGGTCATTTGTTGGCCTTATTTCCTGGATAACTAGAGTACTGCAGAGAAAGTCCTTGCTTATGTTTGTGTCTGAAGTGTTTCCCTCCTTCTTCCTCTAATAGTTATAGAATTTCTGGTCTGATCAACCTGGAGTTGGTTTTCACCAGTGTCCTGCTCAGGCAGTCCCCGGCACACCTTGGAGCATGGCTGGGCCTTCCACCCAGGCTACCATCTCCATACGCCCTGGTGTCTGACGTCTGCCCTCACTCCTACCCTGCTCACCCACAGCTCCTCCTCTGACTCCCTTCATCCTCAGTGTTCATCCCTCCACAAAGAGACTCCGTTTGCTCTTCCCTCGTCATGAGATGTAAGCCTCATGTCTCACAGAGGGCAGGGGCCCACCCTCTTTTGTGGCATGTCGGTCCACTAAATGGCCAATGTTTACTGGATTAGTGAATTATGAACAGATGGTGGGTGAGTTGAGTTTTATCAGGGTAATGTCAACCCACACATTTCTAAGTGAACCATCCTTAGACTGCAAACATCTGAAACAGTGTAAGTATCTAAGGGTGTGTGTATGCATGTGTATGTGTTGTGTATGTGTATTGGGTATTGTGTGTGCTGTGTGTGTTGTATGTGCATATATGTGTGTGTCTGCTATATGTGGTGTGTGTTTGTGCAGTATGTGTGCATGTGTATGTGTTATATATGTGTACTGTGTGTGTATTTGTGTATGTGTGTGTGCTTTCCCTCATGGATCATGGGGTTATGGTTGTGCTCAATTGTACATGGGCTGTTTCCTGTTTTGTTTAGGATTAGTGAGGTTTGGGAATCATTTCTCTGGGTTCAATCATGACAATGCTCTCAGGACTCTTATCACCATGGCTGCATACATTATTTCTTTGTAATATTTACTATGAACCAAGCTTATCCACAACTGCTTCTAAGATGGCCCTATCTTGTTCTCCATAATAAGGATTTTTGCTCAAAGAGGTTGTGACCTGCATGAGGCCACGCAACTGTCAGGGGTAGGGGTAGGGGTAGAGCAAATGCTTTCCCCTGGGGCCCAACTCTCCCCTCTCTTGCTCTCTTGGGCTCTCTCCTAGTTGGCAGGGGTCACAAGGAAGTCCCACCCACATCTCTGTGTCAGCAGGGCCTGGGGGACCATGTCCCTCATCCCATGGCTCCGGGGGAATGACACCCCACCTCGGCTGCCAGCCCGGAGCCCAGCTGAGATGGTGCTGGAAACACTTATGATGGAGCTGGCTGGGCAGATGCGAGAGGTGGAGAGGCAGCAGAGGGAGCGTCGCAGCGCAGTCAGGAAGATCTGCACGGGAGTGGACTACAGCTGGCTGGCCAGCGCACCCAGGCCTTCCTATGACCTCAGCCCTGCTGAGAGGCTACAGCTGGAGGACGTATGTGCCAAGATCCACCCATCCTACTGTGGGCCTGCCATCATCAGGTAACCCTGGCATTGGGCTGGGGACCAACTGTGTGACCTTACTGGTTCCAGAGACAGAGAGAGTCACTGCAGTTTCACTAGGATCAGAGGTTATGAGTGGCCCAGATATATGTTAGATGGGGTAGGGTAGGAAAAGAAACTCAAAGACATGTTAGACTTTGTGAGGCTTCATTTGGGGCTGGAAGCTGATCCTGCAGGCTGTGATGGGTGAGGCTCAAAGCCCTTAAGTTCCTTCTTCCAGCCTGGGTGGTCAGGAACTTGCTTGTTAATAAGGACTCTTTTTTTTTTTGTTTGTTTGTTTTTGTGTCCCCCCCCCCCCCCCAGGGTTTCTCTGTGGCTTTGAAGGCTGTCCTGAAACTTGCTCTTGTAGACCAGGCTGATCTCGAACTCACAGAAATCTGCCTGCCTCTGCCTCCCAAGTGCTGGGATTAAAGGCATGCACCATCACTATTATCTTAAATGTCTCCTACTTCTCCTGCTGCATTGCCTCCTCTTCCTCCTCCTCTTTTAGCCCAGGCTAGCCCAGAACTCAGTAGGTAGCCTCTCCTGGCCTCAGATTCACATCCCTATTCAGACCTTAAGCCACCTCCCTGAAGGTGTGGCCCACCTAGTTCTGCCCCCCCCCCCCCCCCCCCCACTGAACTGGTGAAGTCAGTCCAAAACCCGGAATGATTCCAAAAGAACAGAAGTTCCTTGTCAGCATTTCTCTTTGTAAAGGACAAACCAAACATGTTAACCCTGACTCTTGCAATCCACCAACACTTGACCCTTCTGTGTTTTCTCTCTGAAATCCCCCTGAAAGGAGGGCTCTTTTCTCTCTCTCTCCCTTCCTTCCTTCCTTTCTTCCTTTCTTTCTATTTTTCATTCATTCTTTCCTTTTTTAACCCTCACTTCCCCCTTTGGTTTTTGTGGTCTTCTCAATGGCTACCTTCCTTTCAGACTGCCATCTCCCATTTTCCCGATTCTACTTGATGGGAGGTCCTGGAAGTGTTTACTTCAGAAAGGAAAATGGGGCTGAGGTCAAGAGCACAGAAGGTGCTCTGGCTGGCCAAACCCACAATGAGGAGACTCCCATGTTGCTTACTGGTTTTCCTGTCTGCCCCTGACCAGTGTTGGCCCTCTGCAGCATGGAGGAAGGCAAGGATGATTCTTGAGCTCCAGTCTCTTCTAGGCAGAGAAAACGGCTTGGGAGACACACAAAGAGGCACAATTGTCCTTCCTGGTCTTCCTGAGAAGGAGAAGGAATAGTGTGAAAGCATTGCCTGTCATCCTGAAGAAACATGGGTCCGGGAGAGATGGGACTCTGTGATTACACAATGACATAACCAGACATGCATTCAGAGCAATCACCAGGGCAGGTAACGAAAAGCCAGGCTGCAGTCTCAGTGCTACCTCTGAGAACTCCGCCCCTCTTGGACTTAGGCTGTCGTCGGGCTTACTGCCTATGAGCATGACCCTTGGGAAGAGGCAGGCGTTGCCGTTTACAGATGGGGCAATTGAGGCTCAGAGGTGAACAGAGCTGGGATCTGAACTGAGATGACGATCGACTTGGCCAAGAGTAAGGTGAGGAGTTGTGGGCGGGTGGGATGCTCAGCCCATCACCATGTCCTGCAGGTTCCGACAGCTGCTGGCAGAGCGGGAGCCCGAGGTGCAGGAGGTGGCGAGGCTCTTCCGCTCCGTGCTGCAGGAGGCCCTGGAGAAGACAAAGCAGGAGGAGGAAGCACATAAACTGACACGTCAATGGAGCTTGAGACCCCGCAGCAGCCTGCCGTCCTTCAAGACCCGTGCACGCATCGCGCCCTTTGCCAGTGACATCCGGACCATCTCGGAGGATGTGGAGCGCGATGCGCCACCCCCACCACGCACCTGGAGCATGCCAGAATTCAGGGCGCCCCAGGCTGAATGAGCTCCCTGGTCGGTCACCTGCAGGAGGGAATGACAGTGACCGGGTTGCGGGTGCTGGAACCTCCCCACCGACCCTGAACAGGAGACCCACCATGCAGCATTGCTGGACCACAGAGCTACCTATCCCAGTGGTGTCCACACCTCCTTGGCTACAGGGAGGACTCAGGACTGGAGCCCTGTTCCTCTCCCAGCAAGGTCTCCACTTCCCAGCCTGATGCAGACACAAGGACTGGTGTTGGAGTGGGCTCCTTCCCATCTCCTACCACTGTCTGGAACACAGAACAAGTGCTTGCCTCTTCCTCAAGTCCTGCATTCTCTTCCTGACTTCCTGGATGCCCCATTCACCCTATACATTCAGGGCGATGACCTGATGACATTTACTGGAAGGGAGCCACAGTCTCCAGGGTCAGCGGGAGAGGCAGGACAGTTGGTGGGGACCATAGAGATGGTTCAACTCACTCTTTAGCTAGTGAATGAAAATGGAGACTCTGAAGGGTCTCACTGCTTTTGCCTTAACTCTGATGATCCCTCCAATGTGGGATTGTTCCTGCCTCTGAGTCCTTGAATACTGGGCTATGATGAGATAGGACCAATGGCCACATCTTCACCCACTTATCCCTTACCTATCTCTTACCACTGCATGGGTCAGGGTGGGGCCAAAGTTGCTCTCCAAGAGAAGTAGCTAGGGGTAGTTAGGACGACCATAACCCTACAGTGTCATCACATGGTATGTGGCCAGTCCAGAGGCAGGGCCTGGAAGCCTTCAGACCTGCTGCTGGAGCCAAGGCTTCTGAAGTCCAGGCTTTTGTCCATACCAGCTTTCCTAGGAAGTGAGGTCACCTCCAGTGCCTGAGACAACCAGTCCCAAATAGTGTACGACAGCTTCATGCTCTAACTGATGGTGCATGTGGGGGGGTCACCTGTGAAAAATCTGGAAGGCCAGGTGCCCCCACACACTCTGGAGTAGAAGTGGGGTTCAGAGTAGTGGGTGAGCAAAGTGTCTGTCTCCAGCTTCCAGTGCACACCTAGAAAACACAAGTGAACCTCATAGCAGTCCAAATAAAATGCCAGGGGAGGGAAATCATCTAGGAATGCATGGGAGGAAAATAATGAACAAGTAATGAATGTAGTCTCTAGCTCAGTGTGTGTGTGTGTGTGTGTGTGTGTGTGTGTGTGTGTGTGTGTGTGTGCATCCTCTTTCCTCTCCTCCCCTTCGCTTCACCCCTTCTCCCTTCTTTTTCTTCAAGACAGGATCTGACTATTCTGGCTGGCTGGTCAAGTGGTTCTCCTGCTTCAGCCTCTTGAGTGCTGAGATCACAGAATAAACACTCTTTAAGTGATCTGGTTTTGGGTTACTTCACTGGAATCTGATTAAAGAATGACAGGATGGCACAGACCACTTATCCACCGTTTCAGGATGAAGGAGCTGATTGTCTCATTAATGTAATTACTTCTGAATAAAACACCTTAAACATATCTTTTACTAGAAGATACTGAAAAGGTCACTCAGTTGCCAAACTTTGAATGGATGTCCAAAGTGACCTGTGTTGTGTGATGGGTTTGTGGATGCTTCAACTGTGACACCAAGAACTAGAGAGACTTTGAAACAACTCTACAGTTGCTAGGGAATGTTGAGGGAGATGGAGCATGTAAGGCACCCTGGCTGACGCCCTCACTGGCCCAGATATGACTGGAGGGAAGTTCAGAGGAGTCCTCAGGGGACGACTACTGATCTCTTCTTCCAGGTCTCAACAAAGAAAAGGAAAACTTGCTCTTGAATGACAGGCAGCTGTGAATGGAGTCTCTGTCAAGCCTCCTCAGTACTGTCCTGCTTTGTTCCAATCACACTCCAAAACATCCAAGCTTTGCTCCTGTGTGAGGTGGCATTGGAGCTGAAAGCCCTCCCCTGTGAAATGCAGTGATGATGCAGTGTGTGAGCAATGATGACTGAGGACTGCTGTGTGCTCTGTGCTGTCCTGTTGTGACTTCAGAAGATACTTATTATCATAAAAAGGCAACAGCTGTGGGCAGGCCCCCAGCAAGAACCCCAGAGGACAGCCTGGTTGTCATAGCAGCCCTGTGTGTATTGTCACCCTTTCGGTGGGACAGGATGTGTAGGTGGCCATAGTGATTATTATTCTGACTCATACTGTCAGGTGACAAAATGAAGGACAGACTCAAGCCAATATGTATGTTTATGTCTTAGTTTTCAGTGAAAGTTAAAAAAAAAATGCCAAAAAGGCTTTTGAAGAGGTTATAAAGAAATATTTTGGGAGCTGGAAAGATGGCGTAGTGGTTAAGAGCGCTGGCTACCCTTCTAGAGGACTTGAATTCAATTCCCTAAAGTTACATGGTGACTCACAAATCACCTAGAACTCCAGTTCTAGAAGATCCCATGCCCCGTGGTCTCTGTGGGCACTACGAATGCATATGGTGCTTATACACTCACACAGGCAAACCACCCATTCACAGAAAAGAAAAATAAAACTTTTGAAAAAAATTCCAAAATGCCTGGGAGGTTAGCATCTGAGAATGTCACAGAATGCCGTTCTGTTCTCAAAATAATCCACGTCTTCAGAGTGATTGGTTTCCATAAGCATTCATTTCAAACTCTTTTTCTATCTTCTGCACTACCTATGAGATAAAAGCCTTAAAGGTCTGGTTCTTTTTATTTATAATTCCTTTTATTCTCCTAAGTCAGGGAATTCTTTTTTTTTTTTTTTTTTTAACATATAACCCAAAGAATAGAGCGCCTCAAATCTCCCAAGGTTGACTACAGCATGTTCTATGAATGTGCATTTTATTTCCAGAGCAAGGTATAGCTTTTATTGAGTGTCCAAAATGACGGGGCTTTGAACTTAAAGCTTGTCTGTGTCTACACCAGGCGCATGCTCCCGGTTCCCATGCTTGCTCGGCGGAGACGTCCTAGGACGTTTCCCACAGCGACCGCCTCTGGCTGAGAACCTCCGGGGACAGCAGAACCAGAGGAACCCGGGAACCGGCCGAGGCTGGGCGGGACTTCCGGGAGCGCCCCAGGGGCGGGGCCAAGGGCTCTTCCAGTCGCTCACGGAGGGGGCGGGGCCTGAGACCTTCTGGGCGACTTCCGGCTAGGGCTGCTTGTTTGGGTTGCGGGTTTGCTTTTCAGCCTCTTCCTCCCGTGCTGAATGGCGCCAGGCCAGGTTTTGTAATCCATCGTGACCAAGATCTCAGACTACATGTTTTTGCTGGTTAATTTGCTCAGGTTTGATGACCACTTCCGTCTAGTGTGGTGGCTCTCTCGTCTTTGCTCTTCCGGGGAAGTGAGTTTTCTTCTCATTTTTGGAGCATTTGTTTTAGGTTTGTTGGGGCAGCTTTTGTTGTCATGCTTTACTACATTGTGATGTTTGCCGGTTGATCGTCCAGTATTTTGAGCTTTATATTTTGACGGTTTGACTAGTAGTTTCTTTTAATTTTATAGGTAAGGATCTACTTACAGGCTACAATTTTGACTTTTCCCAGGAGCCTAGTATCTCACTGGATAGTACCTCCCCAGGGCACCTATTTCAGGGTGGCATCTTATGTTTCTCCAGATTCCTGGTAGACAGCGTTTTAAAAATTACAATAGTCATTTTTTCATCTGAGAGTCATTATTAAATTAGAAACGGCTAAGGTCTCCCAAGTATTTTAAGTACCGGTCTTGGAGGTGATCATTATATATATTTCTCCATTGTTTAAAATAGTCGATTTTTCGAGTGGTGAGAAAATGAATATGAATCACAGCGCCTGATGAGACAAAAGCAGGCGATGCAGAAATGGCAACACATGCAGCAAGGGAGTGTGGGATACTTGGTCCAGTCCTGCTAGGCCTTGGAATAGAGGCCGGAGGCTTCCACCTATCACCAGCGACTAATCTAGTAACAGATGTGCTCTCCTCAGCCCTCCCCAGCCTACCCCTATGAGCCCCCAACAGCATGTGTGCCCAAATCAGGCCCAACCCCAACAACCACAAGAGGAGCACGGCCCTAATTCTTTCTCCAATCAAGTGTGTTTTCCACAGCCTGTCCTTTCAGTCTCCATTCAGCCTGTCCCTGAAGATGTAGACTCAAATATTCACACCATAGTCCCCTACAATCTAGTTCTTAACGTCTTGGACTGCTAATTGCCCAGGCTACTAACCCCATAGAACAAGGCATTTTGCCAGCCTAGCCTATAATTGGGTGCTTTCTGAGCTTGCTAGCAGAGTAGGCATTGGCAGACCTCCACAGTGCAAATGGTAGATGAATGCAGCCGCCCCCTCCTCCCCAAGGCACATTAGACAACCTCCCAGAGTGCATTAGATATACACTCCGGACACCTTAACAGCATTTTGGGAGCATTTTTTTTTCTTCTCGTTATAAACAAGCCTTAGTAATGGCACATGCCTTTAATGCCAGCACTCAGGAGGTGGAGACAGGCAGATTTCTGTGAGTTCCAGGTAGGCCTGGTCTGCAGCAGTTCCAGGACAGCCAGGACTATACAGAAAAACCCTGTCTGGAAAGACAAAAAAACAAAACAAAACAAAAACAACAAAAAAGACTTTGTAAACAACTTTTGAACATTTCTTAGCCTAAAAGACAACTTTTCATGGATCATATAACAACTGTACAGTAGCTGTGGCTTAAACTTGCAGGCTGAACCGGGAAAATGTGTTTTTCATGGTTGGTTATCCTCAACCAGTTTTCCTCTCTGTGTGTGACTCAAGCATGCACTGGGAACCCCTTTGGTGTGAAGCCAAGCACTCATTCCTGCCCTGCACTGCCAATAGGTTTTTATTATTTCAAATGATGAAAAAATATGTAATATTAACACCTACTACTTACTGGTACAAATGGCTGACACTTTTCTCTATTTTCCTCATTTATGGAAGGATTAAAAAAATCTAAAGCCATGTCTGGTTTTCTCTTTTCTACCCCCAAGACTTTGCTGTTCCAGAAAATTTCTATCCCATAAATCTGATCATAAAATTTCAAGTATTAAGATTGTCTTAATCAGGTCAAGCATTGGTGGTGCACACCTTTGATCTCAGCACTTGGGAAGTAGAGACAGGTGGATCTCTGTGAGTTCATGGCCAGCCTGGTCTACAGAGAAAGTTCCAGGACAGACTCCAAAGCAATATAGAGAAACCTTGTCT